TTGATGTTTCTTTGAGACAGGGTCTCACCGGGTATAACTCACTAGCTGGCGGGGAACTTGCTGTGTGGACCAGACTGGCTTCAAACTCACAGAAATCTTCCCGCCTCCGCCTCCGGGTGCTGGAAAACATGTATCATCATGCCCAGCTAGTGCTATTTTAATACATCTCTCGGTCTTTGCAGGGTCCCCACAGGAAAGTGGTGACATGCCATTGTACAGAAAAGTAGAGCTCGTATGCAAAGGAAAGCAGATCAACATCATAGGATTCTCTGTGTCATGGACTAGATAGGACCAGAGTTACGTTTAATCTGACACTTATAAGTACTACTACATTCTATCCTTACATATACATGTGACCACATGCATGTACACATATGTAGGTCTATAGGACAGCTGAGCTGCAGACCCTGCCTCTCTCATCAGATATAAGCAGATATAAACAGACCTTAAACCCACAATACCCCTCAATATTTATGAAAACCCTATCATACTATTCACATATGGGTTTGGGTCTGAATAAAGTTACAATGAAGCAAACCTTGGCAACCACAAGACAGTTCTGGGTCAGGACATGTTCTATCACCTGGATCAACATCCTCTGTATTTCCTATGTCATATATGTCCCCCTTTTTCCATCCTTTCAGACAAAGTGCCTGGCTCCATCCAGGCTGTGTGGCACAGGCCTGTGGTCCTCACTGCCCTGGAGGCTAAGAAAAAAAAGCACGAGTTCGAGGCTTGCCTCAGCAACTTGGTGGAACCCTGTCTCAAAGGAAAAATGAAGAAGGACTGTAACAGTCCTCTTATAGCTCCCTGATAGAGGACTTGCCTAACATGGACAAAACCCTGTGCTCATTGTCACTCACACACACATACACACACACACACACACACACACACACACACACACACACGGCCAATCATCATGGTTTTCTTTTCACACAGACTCCCAGGAACTCACAGCCTGCACACTTGCCTCATCAACAACGTCATTGTTTACAGAAAGAGGTCTGCCTTCCAGCTCCTATTCTCAACCACACCAACTACCTCTCAGTTCATGCATTATTCTAACCTCACATCCCACTGCTGGAAGTCAGGAGGACAAACAGGTTCTGCCATCAGCAAAAAAACAGAAGGCCAAGCATCACAGGGAAATGCCTGGCAGCCGTTCCAAAGGTCCCTCACCCCATCATGAAGGCACCTTTGTTCCCACAAATAAATGGCGTCCCCAGAGTCAGCCACTGATCAAAGGCTGTCACTCAGTCCATCTGGCAAGGTGCATGGTGCCCTTCTTACTGTCCAGGACAATGAAGTATGCCAGAGTTTTGAACTGTCACTCCCCAAACCTGTATCACTCCAGGAGTTCAGAGCAGACCTGGCGGCTCCCTGAGCTGAAATGTGCTGGATGGCGTGACCTCTGCAGGTTCACTGATACCCAACAGAGGCAGGCAGCACACGCTACAGGTGGAGAAAAGGCCACCAGCCCAGGTCACAGCAGCAGGGCAGGCATGGGCAAGGCAAAAGGGTGGCCTCAGAAGCAACTGCCCCCTAAGCATACAGCACACCCGGAGGACACGCAGGACCCCTAATGTCACAGGCAGAAAGAGCCAGGAGTATCCCAAAGGACATGTGTGTCATGTCAGCTCAGACGACACTGAGACCAGGAATGGCATCTGGGACTCAGAAGACACAGGACAACAAAACCTCTGCTTGTCAAGTTCATCCATGAGCAGTGGAAGAGCGTCTGCAGATACTGGTCCCAGAATGGGCATCCCACAGACGTGCCTGTGACTGTGAATTCATGAGAAGGTAACCAGTCCTGGACAGGAAATACAACAGCCCTAAATAAACACTAATTTCCTCCCCACTTTTACTAAGTGAGCAGTTTTGCACAAGACAGCTCCTTGTTTTACAGATGCGTTACACTAAACACTAGAAGCATCATTGTAACCATCCTGGCAGGAGGGAAGATATTCTAAAGAGCCTGGAGTGGGTCCTCCCTTTGCCTATCAGACCCCTGAGACAATGGGTCTCAAAGAATTGGAACTTCCCCCAGGAAACTCACGCTGGGAGAAGGGTAAAGCTAAAGCCTGTTGCCTGTCCGAGGACTCTCCCAGGAAGGGATCACAGGGTTCTGGCAACTAGTCAGACCACCTTGTGGGAGAGAAAAAGCCCAAGATGACACGTAGGACCAACGTTGACCAGGATTGTTCAACTATGTAAACCTCTGTTTAGACCTAACTGCATATCAGTACCCATGAAGACAGACTGGGGGGCGGGGATGGGGGTGTACTGGACTTCAATGAGCACACTGAGTAAGTTTCCTTTCCCTGGTTCTTCCGGTTATTTGTCTCTTTAATTGACATGTTGAGGATGGGTGGCCAAGCCTAGCTTGTTAGGGCTGTTAGGACCCAGGCTGTGACTAACTCCAGAACAGACTCAGTGAAGATGTGGCTCTAGCTTCAGCAAGTGCACAGCTGCAAAGACACCACATCTGGACGACCTTCGGGACCTTGACTAAGCCTCAGAGGTGACCTCAGGAGGCAAAGTGTCAGACACAGAGAAATCACTCAGCGAATGACAACCAGGAAAACAAAATTGTTCTCAGGTAACCTGACCAGTCACATGTTTAGTGTTCTCCCCGTGACATCTGAGTGTTCAAGCCAATTCAACTTCCAAGACCAACGCTAGAGGGTTCTCAGCCCATTAAGGCCAGGAGTACAGGAATATTGGATGCTCTCTGTACTAAGAAATGATGCTGAGAATGCAGGAACAAAACCCTTCTGTGTTGCAGGTGTCACACAGGGGAGACTGCATCACACAGCCCCGTGCAGGCAGCAGTGACAACAGTAGTCTCAGCTAGTGTGTGTGTGTGTGTGTGTGTGCGCGTGTGTGCGTGCATGTGTGCGTGCATGTGTGCGTGTGCGTGCACGCACGCGCGCATCCGTGCATGCATGTGTCCATTTGGGTGTTAGATGTTAACAAAAGAAGCTTAAAACATTTTTAAAAATTAAGCATCACGGGAGTCTGAGAGATGACTTAGTGGTTAAGAGCATTGCCTGCTTCTTCCAAAGGTTCTGAGTTCAATTCCCAGCAACCACATGGTGGCTCACAACCATCTGTAATGAGGTCTGGTGCCCTCTTCTGGCCTGCAGACATACACACAGACAGAATATTGTATACATAATAAATAAATATTTTTTAAAAAAATTAAGCATCAGCCATGCTATTACATTTGATTATACCACCTCAATTTGTGTAAATACCACCTAGCAATGTATTTCTCAGAACTCAAGCAATGTATGTTTTATATTTATGTATACGTATAAATATACACAATCAAGTACACATAAAAATCATATAACAGACATGCATGCAAATTCATAGGCATAGCAATCAGTAATTATATACAATATACACACAGGAAAATTATAAACAACAAATACAACATTTATAGATATAATACATATTTACAAATGCATGTGTAATACATATATTCATACAAACATAATAATTATAGGTAGGCATAATACATACATCTAGGTACCCTTACACTTATAACAAGGACATACATAAAACAGGCAGACGTGTCTCAGGACCCTGATTATGCAGTTTACAGAGAAGTGAAGGGGAAGGAATGGCAGTGGCCCTCGGTAGCCCTGAAACCAGCACAGCAGCCTGGATTTAGGCATACAGTACTCCGCACTCAGTACTCTGACATGGTCTTTATGGTTGGGTAGAAATCCCTCCAATGACATCAGATGCATAGCTTACATTCCCAGAGGAAGGAGACCTTTGAGCGCACTCAAAAGGGCAAGTCACAACAGCCATCTTGTGAATGAGGCATCTGTGATGTGCCAATCCAGCATCCCTTGGCTTTTGCTTGGCTGCCCCTAGGCCACGGACCGCCACCCCTCTCACTGGAAACAGAAGGAAGCTGAGGCTCAGCAGTGAGGCGGGACCTCAGTGTGGCTTCTGCAGGAGAACAAGGCTGCTGTGCCACCTCTCAGGTGAGCCCTCAGAGAACGTTCTACCACCCTACGAGATACACAGCACCAGCCTCGTGTCTAGAGAGCGCTGGGCTCTGTCCACAACATGAAGGCAGGAAAACAAGCAAAGACACCAACTGAGCCACTGGGTGCTACATACAGGAGAAGCAGGGTGGCAGCATGACCTCATCCAGTAGGGAAAAGTCAAGCAATACACAAAAGGCACCTTGGGAGAGATGGCAGGCCACTTCTTTCCCTCACAAGTAAGGCTGGGGCAGTGTGCACTCCACAAACAGCCACAGGCAGCCAAACAGCGGCCTCTTCAGGGCCACTCCTGACTGACAGCAAGAAGACTACCTTGTTCTTCACCTCCCAGTCCACAGGCCTCCTCCCAGTTAAGAAGTCACTAAACACAGTGGGAGGGGACCAGGAAAACACAGAGGGCAGGTGGCCATGGCACTCAAAGCAGACTCATTTGAGAAGCAGAGGGAAATTTTACATTCACCTAATGACGCATCAAAGAGAAAGTGTTGCTGTCGGTGAGCTAAAAAGCAGGGCACGGCAAGTGTCAGAGGTGGCCTTGCTGGTACTGTTGGGACGCTTACAAAGCCACCCTGGGACAATGGTACTGACACTAAGAACAGCTTAGGTACCTTTCGCCAGGGGGCCAAGCCTCAAAGGTTGCCACTACAAAAGGGCACAGGGATTTTCCACCTTTGTTTGTTTGTTTTTCGAGACAGGGTTTCTCTGTATAGTCCTGTCTGTCACATCTTACTCTATAGACTAGGCTGGCCTCGAACTCAGAGAGATCTGCCTGCCTCTGCCTCCTTAGTGCTGGGACTAAGGGTGTGAGCCACCTAGTCCAATAGAATTTTCGATCTTAATGAAAACAAACAAGAGTGCACTTCCACCCTCTAGGTGAGCAAAGTCCGAAGGGAGAGCAGAGCTTGAAAAAAAACAGGAAGACCTCCCTACCTGCTCACACCAAGTCCCAAAGGGATGTGACGGTCTTACCTGGCCCGGGTGGACTTGCACAGAGCAGGGAACCGCCACCTTGAAAGGGAAAAAGAGACATGAGCAAGGGGTTCTCAGTCAATGGGCACAGTAGCCCAAGCGGGTTCCCTGAAGCTGCGGCTGTGTCGGGATGCCGGGACTCAACAGAACCTACACTCTGCTAACCCTGCGGAAGTTTGGAGCCTTCTTGAGAATTCCAGAAACAACCCTTCCTCGTTGGGGAGCATGAGAAGTGGGATCCAGAGGAGGTGGAGGCTCTGAAGGGTGGTTTCAAGTTGCCCACAGTCTTTACAGTCACGTTCAGGGATGGATTTTCTTAGCAAAATGGGCTGCTTTCTCCTTAACGATCTATGATCTGTGCATACGAAACTAAAAAGGGAGTCTGTATGTATTTATTCCTGTTGACTGTGTCGCCACGTGAGACGAGAAAGAACTTCCCTTGGACTCTCTCAGTCAGCTCACTAAAGCATCCCAGGCAAAGCTGCAAGACCTCAGTTAATCCCTCAGCTCAGAGCAGCACCTTATTATTGACCAGGCAGCTGGGAAGGCTCAAAGAGAAGTAGGAACACAGAGACAGAGAATGCTGCGGCCCTCAGTTAAAAGTCACTGTGGGAGTCAAGCCATTGGACTGGCTTCTCGTTCCTTTGGGGGGCGGCCGAGGACCTTACCCCATGACCTGCCACACTCCCCAGCTTCCTCTTCGTTCTCCCACTTCAGACCCTGGCTCATTCCAGTTCTCCAAGATTTTTCTGGAGCTGGCAAAGAAGGAGACACAAGGGGCCTGACTGGTCACTGCAGTTCACAATCTGGGGCAGTAGGCAGCAGTATGACCTTGGTCCCTGGTGGGGACATTATTTATAGGCCTCCTGCTTATCTTGCCCAGTGAGTTTCTCCAGAAACATGTGACACATGGCCACTCACCTATCGGGGACAAGCCATTATTCCACCAAGATCATGACTCATATTCTTGGCAGAGACAGGGGTCCTCTGTCTTTGCACTCACCTTTCCCCCAAATACATCCTCAGCTCTTCTGGACTCAGACAGTAACCGGCAGGCAGAGAAACACCTAATTCAAATCTGTGTGTCCTTGGCTCCACATGTACATATTAAATTTTGATTGGTGGGTGGGGGAAGGAGTCCATAAATAAATATAAAGTGTAGCTTCGGAAACACAGGGAGCTGGTGACAGGACCTTATAGGACGGTGACTATGCTGGACCAGGGGGAACCTACGGTTAATGAAATGCTATGATTCACTCCATTCCTGCAAGCCTTCAGTGGGGGCACACAGGCATCCTGGTGCCTTGTGACACAGTCACACTGGTAAGGAACGCATGAGGAACCAGGCTCTCCCTTAGAATGTCACCTGAATTCCACAACGCGGAATAATACTCATCGCCACGCAGAAATGGCCTGAGAGGGCATGAGAGGACACAGAGGAACATTAAATGTCTGTCACTAAGATGAAGCAGCCAACCTGAAGATGCCACCTACTACGTGAGTCCAACTATGACCTTCTAGAAAACACACAACTACAGAAACAGTGAAATATGAATAGTTATCAGGGGCTAAGGGGAGAGATGAGTAAGAGGAAAACCAGACAAACGCTGAGAGCAGCTGAACTATCGGACTGACATTGTCATGGTGGGTACATATCACTGACAACAGTCCAAACTCACAGAATGAACAACACCCAATAAACGCCCTACCTACGCTGTAGGTTGTGGACCTTGGTTAACAATGCCTCGATATTGAGTCATTAAGCATTCTGCATTACAAAGACTTTTAAATTCACCAAGCTAATGTTTAATTTTCTATATGTTGGAAACTACTCTAAATATAAACTTTATCAATATTTTCAAGTAATTGACCAAAAGGATGTATAGGAGAAGTTCCTATGCCACACCAGAAACTCAAGTTTAACAACAGCCAGAGGCTGGCCATGAGCATCATCTTTAAGTCCAGAACTTGGGAAACAGAAGCAGGTGAATCTGTCAGTTTGAAGCCAGCCTGATCTGGGTAGAGAGTTCAGACAGGGCAAGGACACACAATGAGACATTGTCTAAAACAGACAAATGGGGGGGGGTCATATGTTTTCTGTATCCCATATCTCTATATAAACAAGTGGTGTTCAGGGTGGAGCCGTAGGACTGCAAATGAGTAGAGGTTACTCAATCAAGTTCTGAACAGACCGTCTACAATCAAGGAAATGCATCAAGATGTGTCTTTCCAATGTAGCTATCAGCAGCTATCAGGACAGGAGACACCAGGATGTAAGCAGTATTTCAGGTTTCTTCCTCCTTGTTTAGAATAAGGAGGGCAACTGTCCACAATCTGAACCATGAACAGAGGCTGCCTCCCTCAGGATGCCAGTGTTCCTGGTCCATGCCAGTCTCCTTGGTACTAAGAAACACGTGGACACTCAGCAGCTCTGTGATTGGACTCCCTGGCTGCTTTCGTAGGCTCATAGGTTCCACCTTCCATCCAAATTGTCTAGAAAAGCAGGATACAGCTTCTCCACACTTCCTTCTCCTCACAGGAGCCCAGAAAGCTCTAGGGTTCATCATCATTGCTTTTCTTGTCCCTATCACCTGCAGAAACACCTGCCCAGCTCCCCAATTCCATCTCCTGAACATGAAGAGCCAGGTGACATAGCAAGAGGGGGCAGTTGATAAGCTGACAGAAAGAGGATCACTACCCGGGGTCCAGATCAGAATGGCACCTCATGATATCTGTTTCTGACTCATCCCCAGTTGCAGCTCTGATCAAACACTCTGGTCCTGAAGCTCTTTCCACATGATGGAGGAAAACGCAGGAGCCGGGGCTATCTCCAGGCTGTGCTCAGGCTATCTACCCAAGGCCATGAACTGCACTGAGCAACAGACACAAATGCAGTGAACTTGGACAAGGGCCCAGTGCCAACCCACCCTCAGGTACAATCCCACAGGTGTTTCTACCCAGGAATCTCTGAGCTGGGATGGCTCCTTCGGTGTATGACTTCATGATACGCACCGCCCACCCAGGGCATAATTTTTAAATATCCATGAGTCGTGAACAAGTTGCAGAAGGGCGGAGACAAGAGAAAAGCAGGCTGTGCTCCACACTTCAGGACACACCTTCAGGGGGCCTCGCATGCGTAGGCTCAAGTCAGCACCATAAATAGGTCCTATAAGACACGCCTGTCTGCAGCTCTTGGTTCTGAACCCTACTAACACAGAAAGCGAGCGTATTCTATCCTGAGCATGGGACTCTGAATCAAGGAGAACTGGTCCTCAGACAGACAAAAGACACCAATTGGGTCCCAGTTGCCTTCCCCTCCCCCTGATGAGAGCATGCAGGGTGACAAAAGGTGGCAGCAAAGGCGCAGGTCTGGCAGCTACAGAAGATCCCAGGAGAGAGCTATAGACTGAGCTATGTAAGCAGAAGATCTTGGAACCCATGTCCTTCTCTTACCCTAACCCAGGGCCTCTTATATGAGAGATCTGCATAAGAGCCATTTTATGGCCTTTACTTGGCTTGGTCTGTGGCCTAATCTGTGGTTACCAAGGACAACCACAAACAAACAAGGCTGTGTCCAACCCACACCTGGCTGTGTGGGTGCCTGGAACCTGCTGATGTTGATAACCTTGTCTCCAAGCCAGCCAGGTCATCAAGGCGGAAGCAGGAGGGGCCAACAACCTTCCACTCAGGACTGTCCCAGGAGTGAGTGTGTGAATGGCAGTGTGCATATTTAAAATTCAGGGACAGGGCGGAAGGTGAGTGGGTGGGTTCTATGATACGAGGCTTGCCTAGAATGTGTGATGGTCCAACCAAATTGAGCATTTTTGAGAAATGTGTGTGTTGGTCTAACCGTCTGTCTGACTAGAAGTCTTGAGAGTTCCGTGAGTGGGATCTAATGTGTGTGAGAGAGAGAGAGAGTAGCTAAGTGTGCATATGTGGATGTGTATATGTGTACACATGTATGTATATGCATGTCTTGTGGGAACATGTGTTTGTGTGTCTTCCCTGTGTCAGAATGTCTGTCTGTGAGCATGTTCATGTGTGTATCCACGTGTATTCGTATGTCCTGAAGCTAGAACAAAAGGCAGAGCTTTGACCAACAAGTAAGCCTACCTTAAAAAAGAAAGACTCAGCCACTACCAGCTGCCTCTGCCCTCTCACCATGGCCAGCAGGAGCCTCTGGGGCGAGGAGAGGACCAGGTCTACTGTGACTACGGTTCCCAGAGAGCGAAAGGACAGCCCAGTTCAAACAAACACCCAGTCTGCAGACCCTGTCTTCCTTCTGATTCACACAATTAAAGCATGAATTCAGCACTGATTGTCATGTTTGACTAAATTACATTTCGGCCACGCCATGTCAAGAGTGATTATTTTCCTGCCAGTGTCTCTACGAGATGCATGGTTGTAACCACTTCATGCTACTACATAAACAGAATAAAGGTAAATTTACATTCAACCTTTTGTTAATCATCAAAAATCCCAATCCTGTTGGGTCCCGTGAGTGAGTTTCCTAGAATGTCACAGAACTCTGGAGGAAGAATGGAGAGACAGGCCCCTCCACTTTCCACGACCGGTTAACCACTACAGTAAAAGCCTGGGTGCTTGCTGGCCCCCTTTCTCGTTCGCTCTCCATGTAAGTCTGCCCGTGGGAGGGCTCTCTGACGCTGGCATCAAGCATGCACACACAGGGATGTGGAAAGGGGAGTCAAGCCAGCCATATCAGCCATCAGTCATCTAAGGCATTCAGCAAAGGCACTCAAGGGCTGGGGCTGCAGTGTGGCAGAGCCCAGCATGCACCGCACCCTGAACGAAACAAATGCTTCCATAAATAAAAGCACATAACTTCTAATAAATCCACCAACAGCCTTTCAGGAGCAAGATAAAGGAACAGAGGAGAAAGGTGAGTCACCAGCTACCTCAGCGCTGAAAGAGCCATCTTGGTGCTCACAGTAACAAGAAATCGCTTTGATCTGAACAATGACTCACGGCTACATAAAACTGGAGGCAAAATTTACTTCAGCTTCGACACCAAGCCAGAA